TGAATATCAAAAGAATATGCCAAGCACGTCTAGGCTTAGAAATTGAAACTTATGGAGGACAATGAAATAATATCACTTGACTTGTGGTAAACTAAATCTAGATATTAACAAAAAAAAACTCCACTTTGCACTCCTAAACTTGTATTACTTTTCCACTTTAATTTATACCCTAAATTTTAATTTAGGGATTTTGGACATTTATCATCCTAAACTCTCTCGTCAGTCAATGATAGCTTTAGCAAAATTAACGGCAACTCAACAGATCAATGATAATGTGCCAAAAGTAGTCAAAAGATTCCAAAGTATCATAGCAAAAACAAAATAATACAGTATCATTAATTTGCATCATTTTTATTTTGTTAATTTTGCTAATAATATCAGTGATTGATACCGTATCAATTAATGATAATATACCAAAAGTGATCCAAAAAGTTAAGGGATCACATTTAGAAACAAAACAGTACATTATCATTAATTTTCACGGCCCTTTAACTCGTAAAGTTTGCTAACATATTCATTCATTAGATTTAAATGAGATAAACTTGAAAATTAAATTGAAGTTTAGGGTCTAAAGTGAAAAGGTGATATAAATTTAGAGGCGCGAAATGGAGATAGTCCCACTTAAAAATAAATAATTAGCACCCATGTCTAATATATCATGTAAACTGAAATTCTCATTCAAATTTAACCACGGAAAAATAATTTTATCCCAAAGGTTGATCTATTATGAGAGAAAATGCGGTGAAAAAAATTTATTGTTCTTCTGTTTCGGTTTGAAAATCAATAATGCAATTTAGGCCCTGCTGCTATTAAAATTCAATGAAACAATTAATGACTTTCTTTTAGAGCATGGGGCTTTCCTTCTTGCTTCCGTGGTTGGATGCAATCAATCGAGTAATGTCCCAAAACGCTGTAATCTATTACTGCTTTAATTCTTTTCTCTTTTTCTTCTTTTGTTTAGATTCTTTTTCCTCCTTACAATGAGGCTAAAAAGGAATATGCACTTGAGCATCATCTTTTAATCATGTCGCGTTGAATATAATATTTGATGTCTCTTAGATACCATTCCATTTCATACAAAATGTTGCATCAAAGTTGCCAAATTTTATGTAGGGTCACATCTTGGGTCCCTTAGACATTCATTTACTAATTATGGCCCATTGCTCTTAGTTTTTGACAATTTTTAACTTTATGAGTTTCTTTGCATTGTTCAAGTGCCCTTTCGATCTCTCATGTGATTCAAAGACACACATCCAAAGAATTAGAAATCCAAGAGTTCTTATGTATTCACTTCGTCCCATTTTGATAGTTTTATTTTCCTTTTTCTAATTATTGTGAAAATATTTTAAAAAAATAGCTACCTAAATTGATTGTTTTAATAAAATTAACTACTTTTTTTTTTTAAATTGTATGAAAAAAAAATCAGAAATATATAAGTGGGACGGAAGGTGTATTAGAATTTCTATCGAAAAGCAAAGCATACTACCAACCACTTCATGGAGTCATTATTGATTTCATGCTGATTAGATAACCTTGATTTGATCAAATGGAAGTCCACTCATTCTAATTGTTTACAACTTGACAAATCAAAGATTGGAAGTCATTCTTACATCACGGTGGTGTTCTTTATCCCCTCAACAAATACGTGGAAGTGATTATTGAAAATAACATTTCTCCACCCCACCCAACACAAAAAAAAAAAAAAAAAAAACTACATCATCTATTTTGAACGAGTTACCTTTTACTATATTTGGCTCTATCTTAAGTTTGAATTTTTAGTAACTTTTTTTTTTATTCTACAAAGTACGAATCAGTATACTGTGGTGATTGAAGAGAGCGAGTCTTTTCTCTTCCTCTTCTCTTTTCCAATTTCTTTCTATTTCTTCTCATTTTTTTAAAGGTATTCCCTTGGAAAGGGGGATCACACTATGGTCTCCCTCCCATGAATCTCGTTTCATTTTATTTATTTTTTCTAATAAAGTTTCTTCTAAATATTCCAAGTAAGAGTTTTCTATTTCTCCTAAGGATTCTTAAGTGAGTTTTCTATTTTTCCTGAGAATTCCTAATGAGAGTAAGCAGAATTTTGTGTTTTTTCATGATGTTAACAAGGTTAAGAAAAGCAAGTTAGCTGAACAGTAATGAAGAAGATAATAAATCCAAGAAACGAATTATACTGTCCTTGATCCAGCTACCACAAACAAATGTCATATTTTCATTCCACAGTCTGGCTTTTAATTGGACTACAAAGACATGAATGAAGGAGAAAGCTACTCGACGATGAGGACAACCAGACGACTTTATCCAAACCTTAATCATCACTAATTCGGGTCCCAAATGGCTTCAATATGGTCGTAGTGGAAACTACCACTAGTTTAGTTAGTGGGAGGGCTTTATGAGGTTCGTATAGGCATAACATTCCATTTGTGCACGACCAAGGATGATGGGACCGAAACCACCTGGCTCTTCCGCCGTCTCCCTAGTTAAACAATAATATTGCTAAATGAGATGCATAATCTCAGCTAATCAATTACTTCGCCCCAAATAATTATGATACGACCCTCTTTATTTTTTTCTTTTTTCCTTTCTGAATTTCTTCTCCAATTCTTTTGGTTCCCCCCCCCCCCCCCCAAAAAAAAAAAACTCCAAACTTTTATTTCTTGTAATTGCTGAACTTTGTGCAGGATTTGCAAAGAAAAAGTATTTGATATTGACAAGTGTTGCTCAGCTGGTGGAGACTTCAGTTAAATATTTGCATAATGTCAATTTTTTTCGTGCACGATAATATTTGTATAATCTAATATTTGCGTAATGCCAATTTCTTGAACTATTTGTACAGCACAAGCCGAATGGATGCACACATGCACACGTCTTATTAGTAGTTGGATTGCATGCATGCACTCCTATTTTCCTCCTTTTTTTTTTGTTTTTGTTTTGGTCTCAGTAAACAACTTTCAAAAGCACCATAATTTTGATACAACACCCCACCCCCCCAAAAAAAAATTTAAAAAAAAGAAGAGGAAAGAAAACAAAAGCATGAAATGGTTTCCAACTGTCTCTCCTTCTGTTTCCATAAGACTGGTCAACCAAAGTTTCAAACTTGCAAAAGCTATAAGCAGCAGGTGCTTTTCTTGGTCTTCAAATAAGAAGATGCTATAGAGCCACGAGCATGCCGGATTTATAAGAGAAAGGAGCGGAGGACGGAAGGAGGCCGGCGCCGGCAGGCACGTTGTTCTAACAATAAAAGCGCATTTTCTAATTAAGGAAGCATTGGCTTTCCCTAGATTATGATCGGTCAATGTTATATGGCTCCATGCATCCCCACAAAATTGGCAGCTCCTACCAAGAATTCGCCATTAATAATGGAGGACCACAATGCCTTAATTCGGGACAATTGCCTTACCCTCCAAGGTCACATGCCCATATTCAGCCTCAATTTCTTGACGAACATTCCCCACATTCTTTAACTGTTTTCCGACTGCAAGAATATGTATATTCTGTTTTGAGTAGCGCTACTACAATTTGTAACACCAGATTTGTATAGACATTGATGGTTTTATTAAGCATCACAAACCAACCATCCCAAAGAAAAAAAAAAAGAAAAAAGAAGAAGAAGAAGAAGAAGAAGAAGAGGAGGAGGAGGAATATACAACACCTACTATATAGCACAATTCCTTTTTTATGACTACAACTAATCCTTGAGGCCTTGGACTTGGGAGTCCCATCTGCAAAGTCATGATCTTAATATGGAAATGCAGGCAAAGTTATTAACTGAAATGTGCTAACAGTAACACAGACAAACAAAATCGAGAAACTGTTAATGATTACAAGAGGTTACAATAATAGTAACACAGACAATCCAAGAGAACGCATGACTTGGTTTGCACACAATTGAGAATTCCTTAACAGAACATTCCTTGAAAACCACAGCACAGCCCAAGGAAAGAGAACAGCAAGTAATTAGTAGCAAGTAATTGGAGGGGCTAAACTCACTAGTATTTTTTTTCCCCACAAATTTCAACATTGATGGTGCACATTATCAATACATCAAATGTGTGAATCTAGTATGAACTAGGGAGGGATGTAAACATAATCTCACTACTCATTTTTGGACGATGTAATGTTTTTTCAGAATTACACGTCTGGATGGAGAGATTATAATCACTTTTACTAATCCATAGAAACGCAGTACCGCTTTTTTTTTTTTTTTTTTTTTTTTGTTCTAGTTTTATTCAGTACCACTTCCAATTACTTGGAAAACACGAGAAGATTCCCACAAACTTCAGTAATAAAACTATTTTTACGTCTCGAAGAACTTCATGGCACTTGTGTTCTGGTTCAAGTTTAAAAGTTCTAGAAAAATGATCACGTACACATGCCACAAATCCCAGCTTAATTTGCAACAGAAAGATTCACCCACCATGCCAATAGTAATACTTCAAATTACTATTACTAGGCAGAAGTATTACTATTACTAGGGAATAACAACAACAGCAATACATGCCCTTTATCTTTATTTTGCCTTCTTTTAAGTTTTAACTGCTTTAACTTTGTTTGAAGACCAAATGACAGAGAAAATATGCAGCTAAAGAAGGGGTAGCATCAGTCCTACAAGATCTCAAACCTTCCCACTTTGCTGACCACTTGGGCAGCTGACCAAGTCGTTTTACCCTTTACTCTCCTATCAAACGACTTGCCCGTTGCCCATTTTGCTGGGCCGGCATTGGTTCCGGGTTGGAAAAGGAGTAAAAACCAGTCCACTGTGTGTGCGAGAGAGGTAGAGGGAGATTTATGCGCACTTTATTCTGTTCAAATTCGATACTTTGCTGTTAGTACTGCTCAGAAGAACGAGGCTGCTGAATCAAGAAAGCAAAGCAACGAAGGCCCCCACTAAAAAATAACCACACTCTCTGTCTCTCTTTCTTTATATTGTCTTGTTCTATACAAGAAAGTGTTTATTGTCTCTCACTTGGTCGTTGTGTTTTCTGGGCTTTCAGTCTTTTCCTTCAATACTAAAGAACTACTAGTATATAGTACCGAGTGTGTATGTGCTAAGACGCACAAACACAGAGTGCTAAAGAGAGGGATTCAAGAAAAGAAGGCAGTTAGTCTTGTTAGAAGCCTGCATTGTGGGGTGGACTAATCTTGTTGGTTGAACTGAGGATATAAGAGAAGCCCTTTTGAGGATTTTGGCATTTAGGACTAATTGGAGTTGGATTGGATTGGAAGTAGTGAGCTTTGATAAGAAAGTTTAGGACTTGGGGAAGAATTGCTCATCTGTAATTCTGCTGGATTCATCATCTTGAATTTTGTGATATTCTTGGTGGAAGTTGAGAATTTGAGGATTTGGAGGGAAGGGGAATACAGCAAGGAAAGCTGCATGAGGACATAGTGAAACGATGAGAGATGAAAATTCCAAGAAAAGCAAGGTCTTCATTTTATTTCATAATTTCTGGTTAATGGAAATTGTAATTTGGATGTTTTTCCCCCCTCAAAGATCAGTTTTTGCTAACTTCGCGGTTTGGTATTTTGTTGTAGCTCTCATGGTCAAAGAAATTGGTTAGAAAATGGTTCAATATCAAGGGAAAGGCAGAGGAATTTCAGGCTCATGAAGTTGTCTATGGCGGTGGGCATCTAATTCTTGTTTGCTTCTGTTTGTAGTATTCTCCTTCTTGAATTCGCCATTTCCTTGTTTTGACTAAAAGTGCTTCTTGATGAGTTTATCATTTTTGGAATTAGACGAATACTTTCGTGTTCTGAATTTTCTAGTTGATTTGTCTCTTCCTTTCTTTTTGACTGTTTTAACTTTCAAAATTGACGATTTAACTTTTTTTTTTGTCTCCATTAATATGTAATATTACTTGGAAGTTAATTGTCTTGCTATTGAACGATTGATTTGCTGACAAAAGAAGACAGTTCTCAATAGCGAAAATTAGGTTATTTTGTTTTCTCTTTGTTTTTCAAGCATTTATTGATTCATATGGCTTCATTGCAATTTACTTGGGAATTGAAATTGATTGCAACAAATTTTTTTATCTAGGAGGTGATGTGGAGTGGAGGAACAGCTTTTCCGAAAGGGAACCGCCTACAATTAAGAAAAGTAGAACAGGTTAGCCGCACTTCGTTATAGGGACATTAATTCATGATCCTCTTATAGAAATATTGATCCTCTTAGGAAAATATTAATCCTAACTTTCCGTCCATTGTTATGTTGCAGAGAGATCAAGCAGGAATTTGGAGCGTTCGCGCAGGAGTAGAGTTGATCTGGATCATCCTCAGATTATAAATGTCCACAATTACAGGTTTTCCATTTGAAATTTGTGTACCCTGTACCAGTTAGCATAATGTTTTTGTTCTTGATTTGCAGTTTCTTTATCATAATGCATTTTATCGTGGATTTGGCAGTATGTTTGTAGCCACATGGAATGTGGGTGGAAAATCACCACCAAATAACTTGAACCTAGATGATTGGCTACATTCAGCACCTCCTGCAGATATCTATGTCCTTGGGTATGTTTATTTAAGCTCTACACTGTGTATATTCTATTACCAAATACACTGATTCGGTTTCTAGTAGAAGTAAACCTTTTGGTTTAAATTCTCGTTTCCTCTGTAAAACAGGTTTCAGGAGATAGTTCCTTTGAATGCTGGTAACATTTTGGGTGCTGAGGACAATGGACCTGCCAAAAAGTGGATTTCTCTGATCCGGAAGACACTTAACAATGGCCCTGGTACAAGTGGAGGTAGTGGATGTTACACACCATCTCCTGTTCCTGAACCAATTGTCGAGTGGAATGCAGATTTTGAGGGGTCAACCAGGCAAAAGGCCTCCAAGTTTCTTCCTCGTCGATCCTTTCAGACACCCCAATGCTGGAGAATGGATAATGACATGTCCATTCCACATCCTCGCCTTGATCGGCGGTTCAGTGTTTGTGACCGTGTAATTTTTGGCCACAGGGCTAGTGACTTCGATCCTAATGCTAGATGGGGTCATCGACCCAGTGATTGTTCATCTAGTCAGAGGCCAAGTGACTATTCTTCTGGCTACAGGCCGAGTGATTATTCCTCCGGGTGCAGGCCCAGTGATTATTCCTCCGGTCGCAGGCCGAGTGACTATTCCTCTGGCCGCAGGCCGAGTGACTATTCTTGGGGTCAGAGGCCTAGTGACTTTTCTAGGTGGGGTTCATCTGATGATGATTATGGCGCTGGCGATTCACCTAGTACTGTGCTGTTTTCACCAATGTCGTGCAGTGGATATGCACCAATGGAAGATGGATATGGAATGCCAGCGCATTCAAGGTACTGTTTAGTTTCAAGCAAGCAGATGGTGGGGCTTTTTCTTACTGTCTGGGTGCGCAGTGAGTTAAGGGAATCCGTTCGTAACTTGAAGGTATCCTGTGTGGGTAGAGGATTGATGGGCTATCTCGGGAATAAGGTACTCTTTCAAACTTGATGATTCTAAATGTTTAGTTTCATTTTGACTAGAATCAATAAACTAAGGAAGAAGGAAATTTTTTCATGCTTGGTTTTGCAGGGATCCATTTCAGTCAGCATGTTGTTGCATCAGACAAGCTTTTGTTTTGTATGCAGTCATTTGACCTCAGGGCAGAAGGAGGGTGACGAATTGCGACGCAATTCTGATGTGATGGAGATCCTTAAGAAGACTAGGTTTCCACGGGTTCAAGGCATAGGAGATGAGAAGTCTCCAGAAACAATTCTCGGACATGAGTGAGTCGCTTTTCAAAATAGCCCACAAATGGCTTGCACATCACCTCTCTCCCTTATTCTCCTCCCCCAAGTAAAAATGGAATGGTGACACTCGAATTAGTCTTAGGAAAAGAGTAACTCAACGTGGTTAGTGGCGAATATAAATGATTCCATTGTTCCTGCTGCAAAAATGAATCATAACTGGATCCTCCCTTCTTGTCATATTCATTGCTTGGTTTTGTATCTTTCCTCATTTGCCTTGTACTGTAGTAGTTAATATACCTTTTTATCAATTTACCCATGTCATCTGTTGTCTATATTCTGATCCTTTTGCTTTTGATCCAGTCGGGTTGTCTGGCTTGGGGATCTCAATTACCGAGTGGCCCTTTCATATCGGACTGTTAAAGCTCTTGTAGAAATGCAAAACTGGAGAGCATTGTTAGAAAATGACCAGGTATTGTACTTATATCTTCATTTACTGAGCTATCATCAACTTTACATATTTTTGTAATTAGATTATTATCAGCTAAATGTTTGGTAATTATCTTGGCAGTTGCGGATAGAACAGAGACATGGTCGTGTGTTTGACGGCTGGAAAGAAGGGAAGATATATTTTCCACCAACATACAAGTATTCACATAATTCAGACAGATATGCAGGAGATGACTTGCACCCGAAGGAGAAAAGACGAACACCAGCGTGGTATGAACCTATTCTTATTTGTTAAGAAAATTGAGCATAGGTCCTATTTGATTACAACAGATTAAAAGAGGACAAATTTTAAGCGTTCTTTACTCAGAGTTCCTGCTGATGGTAAAGAGGGAGTCACTATATTTCAACCTTATTAAGCAAAAGAACTGATCTATGCACTTTCTCGTCTGAAGGTGTGATCGCATTCTATGGTATGGAAGGGGTCTTCAGCAATTATCATATGTCCGTGGTGAATCTAGATTTTCAGATCATAGACCAGTGTCAAGCGTATTTTGGGCTGAAGTTGAGTCAGTACCTAATAGATTAAGGAAAAGCATGAGTTGTTCAAGCTCCAAGATACAGGTGGAGGAATTGTTGCCATACTCGCATGGCTACACGGAACTCTGCTTTTTTTAATGACAGAGGAGATTGTAAATAGTAGGATTTGGTACTCTCTCTCTCTCTCTCTCTATGGATGAGTGCGTTTTTTTTGTCTGCATTACCGGTCTTTCCCTTCAACCGTCCTTTTCATTGCTTCTCATTTTCACACTAGTCCTCATTGAAGTAGCTAAAACAAGTGGCAAAATGATCAGATTAGCAGCCATTTCCAAAATTCCAATATGCCTAAGCTTCCAGAAGGAAAAAACCTGTCTTTTTGGCAAGCATCTGTTAACAGCAAACTATCCTCTAACATGTTATTTACTCTGAACTCTGTTGCTAAAATGATACATCCACTTGGCAAGTTTACTTTTATGATGATTTGCTCCTGATTGTCTTCTGAGAGTTCTTCTAACCAAACATATCAATTTGGCCTCCATTTGCAGGCGGGAATTGCTTTCAACATACTCAAAACCTGAAGTGTGATGGGGACCTTCCTTCCCACTAACCAAAAAAGGTAACACATGCTCTTTCTTTTTTACGCTTTTCTTGGTTTTGCTGCAGTTTTTTATCCTATTCTACAATTTTTCTTCATTGTTTCTTTCATCAGGTGTAGATACGTTGATTCTAACTGCATACAACCCGAGCTTGATGTTCCTCTAACCACCATTTGTTCAAAGCAAATAACATTAAACCATATTGAAGCACAGTTTCATTCAATTAACAGATTGATAAAATCCCACTTCGGAGGTGTCTTGAAATCTCCAGAGCAGCATCTGTTATCCTGCATTTTGATCAGGTATCAATCACTTTTAGTTTTATGATCAGGTATCTATTATCCCGTGTTATAATCATGCAAGAACTAACCAATCCTCCATTCTTTCAGAGATCGACAATTGAAGACTGCCTTCCAAGTGGGAAAATGATGATTGCTATTTTCATTGAAGATTCTTTATTTGTTGGGTTAGAGATTCGATGTCTGCAAGAGAATGATGCATGGTCAAAATAATCATTTGGGCTTTTTTTTGCCTTTTTGTTTCAAATGAAGAGAGGAAGTAAAGATCTGACGTATACTCATTGCTAACGTGATAGAAGAGAAAAGGACTAATGAGTTTCTTGTAGGCATTTTGGTCACTGTTGATGCCAATGATTTTACTGAAAAGTGGTTTTCTTGGTTATCTCCTCCTGCCTTGTTCTCTATTGTCTACTTTTCTTTACCCTGCAAAAGCTAACCAGAAGCCACAAAAGTAGGAGACAAGTTTACAGATATGGCAGGTGAATTGGTAGAGAGAAGGCATGATTCAGAACTTCTCTCCCTTCAAAGTTGTGGAGTAATAAAGAGATGCCATTCACATTTGTCTTTACTGTTTACGCCTGTGTGAATTATTCTTCTTCGCATGACACTTGGCCTCTTGGAAGTCCCCAAATTATAGGGTTGTGTTTCCTTTCCTGAACTTTTCGCGAGACCTATGAACCTAGAAGAACATGAGAATATTACAAGCCTTCTTTTTTTGGTAATAATCTAGCTAGCCTTCACGAACTCACGCATTTAAATCGAAGCAAAATGCAGCAGGGCTGCAATCCCTGAACAAACATCTAGAGGATCCTTTTATCTTCATTTTTTCCTTTTCTAACTCATATTGGAATTGATGACTAGCATTCTCGCTAGTTCTAAGTATTTTCTTGATGATTTTTAGAAGAATTCGAGCAGGGGCATACACTAAAAGCTGACTAATTTAACATTTCTCTCTATTTGACCCTTTTTCGGGTGAAATTGGGACTGTGTTTGTCCTTGTCAATGAACCAGGCCCACAGGGTTTATTTAGATCACAAACTAAGCTTAGCAGAAAATCCCATGCTTATAGTGGAACATGATTTAGTCCCCCATGCTTCCATGCACGCACGCTGAAATTAAAATGTCAGAAGCGCCGCAGCCATTGGAAGGCTTAACCTGCAAAACAAGAGGAATAATCAAATAATTGGAAGAAACAAGAGGAATATTCACAGATTTGTAATCCATTATAATTTACCTCGGTAGCATTCAAACTGGAAAAGATTACACCTTTCAAAATGGTCCCGTTTTGATGCCCCCTTGACCAAAAGGATTTGCGAAAACGAATGAAAGAAACCAAAACATGAAGAAACCTGCTCAGACACCCTATGGTGTCTATTCTTTGTGGTGGGACACTGAGGACATTAAAGACTCTGCGCATGTTACAGTAGAAACTGTTTTGAGTTGCTGATGATCTAAATCTTTCGTGTAATTCTGCTATTTGAAAAAATTGTAAAATGATTATTAACAAAATGACACATTAAAATCTTCCAACTTAATTTGCTACAGGCTCATGGACTTAACGTCTTCTGTGGAGTTTATAAATCACAAAGGAAATGCAGAATGAAAAGATAGAATTGAGGATGGATTCAGGAGGGCAAAAGCCAAAATGCATATGCCAGTACATATCTAGATTCTTGACCTGTTCTGGTCCCAAACTCAGATGGAAGGAAGAAGTTGACCTCCAAATGTATGCCATTAAAACAGCTTCTGTCCTTGTTATGAAAAGGAGGGATCCGACATTAGTGGCCTTCAAAGATGATGGTTCATTTCTTTATAAAGAACATGATGGTTTCCTTCTCGATCGCACTATTGTCTGACTTGTCTTCATGACATTACAAAGTGAAGAAGATTGAATCCTCTTTAAACTGAAAAAAGATGGCCGTTGAATCATGCATCCGCATAAATCTGCAAAAATCTGCATGTTGTCCTTTCCCTTTTTGTACAAACTGTATACCACGCACACTCGAGGATAAATATAGAGGCAGTGAGATCATGATCAAGGAACAACTTTTGACAGTATGCCGAGTAGCTAGCAGCAAACAGCGACATAGAAAAAAGAAATACTAGCAGATTTTTATCGTAAGCTTTAGAGTATGGTCATGCATGCTAGGACCCATGGATCGGTATAGTTTGGAAGGAGGAAAGGCAGAGGATGTAGGAAGTTTTACGTAAATTGGTGACCCAATCGTCCATTCAACCTTTGCAGATTGTTGAGTTTCCTGCTCGGGTGCCTTCCAAGCTGAACACTTTCGTGAAATGTTTCAGCCATTATTCCCTCCTCCTAAGCCCATGCAGCTATACGCGATACTCAAACAGCGTTTGTAAAGTTTACGAATCGTTAGCCAGATCATCGGCTGCTTGATGATGAACAGCACAATATCATTTTTTTTAATTGTTATTTATTATTCACTAAACAAAATTACTTGAACAACAGAAAAATATTTTATCTGGGGCTGAACGTTTCCAGACTAAAACCTAAAACTTAGAAAAGAGTTATGTAGGTTGATGGTACAGATGCATGTATTCTCCATTTACAGCTAATAAAGCATAATTAAGGTTGAAAAAACTATACATAGAGCAATTCGTAAAAGTACAACAGACTCTAAGTAAACTTTTGGTATCCTATTCAGCCTTGTTCGTCAATCAGCAGCGTCTACACTATTCTATTTTAGAGAAGAGGGGGAACCCAACTAGGTTGTATCAGGGGCTAAAAAGAATAGAGATCTATCTTAACGACGAAACGGGTGCTCTGAAACACTCTTTGAATTTTTTTTTTTTAATTGTAGGATGTGAGATTTAAACCTCTTCAAAGAGGGTATTGATTGTGATTCTCTGATGCAATTTTTGGTACTCTTCATATGCATCAACATTTTGTTCCCCTAAACACCTTTAGCATAATCGTACTAATTCTCTCCCTGCATAATCAACATTTAGCCACTGCAACTTTTGGTCATATGTATCTGTAAGATCAATAATTAATATAACATCACTGATCACTCCACCTTTTCATATTATTTTTCTTCCAATACTTCAATTAATAAAAGAATAATCCAAAAAAAAAAATTCTCTCCCTAATGAGAATGTGAACCTCCAAACGCCATTAAAACAGCTTCAGTTCTGTTCTTGTCATAAAAAGCAGAGATCCAACATAAGTGGCCTTAAAACATACTGATGGTTTATTCTTTAGAAGGACAAATATGGTATCCCACTTCCCCTATTGTCTGATTTGCATTCATGAAATTACAAGGCGAGGAAGGTACATGAGAAAAAAAAAAAAGAGTGAGTTCGATCATGGCATTCCCATAAATCTGCAAAAACTGCATACATATCATCGTCCTTTATTCCTTTGATATACAGTCTGCTTCGCATATCAAAAGAAGAAGCAGTGAGATCATCAAGGAGACAGCTTTTGCCAGAATTACAATTACCAGAAAACAGTGGCATAGAAGGGGGGGAAAAGAAGAAGAGAAAATAGTAGCCCAGGCAATAATTCATCAAAATTAATAAGCTAGAATAAATATACACTTAATCTGCCAATGCATCTAAATGTCCCTAAAGATTGATTTTGCCAACTGTTTCTGCTGTAAACGCTGGTTGTACCACTGATTTACTACTCCTGGTTCCTTTGCGTCTCGGCAGCAGGAGGCTTTAGATTTCTCGTCTAGATCAATCTGTTTATTTCGGCACTCATCGGAGCAATGTGCTTGAAGGTAACTGCATAAGATCATTTGGTTTTCAAATAAACAAAATCCTTGCGTGCTTGATTAATTTGATGATGCTTTTTTATTCAAATAAGATCATTTTGCTATGGCATCACATATAATTTTTCAATTATTTTTTATATTCTCAACTACCTTTTATCTCATATATATATATTACAATACAAAAAAATACGGGAGTAAATAATATTTTTTTATTAATATTCCATCCAAACACACTCACCAATATCTTGAAATCTTAACACATCAATTACTTTATTCAAAAACATGCAAACCAGACTCAATAGAGATCAAATTATGGTCATTTTTGCTGTTATAATTTTATATTTCAAGTGAATAAAAATGTTACAGGAAGCTGTTATGAAATTTGAGATCAGACTATACTAGACTTAGAAAAAGGGGGAAAAAAATATTTCCTCATCATCCATTTTTGATACCGGTAAAAAAGTTGTGAATGATCATGCCATGCGCCTTCAATTTTGGACTTCGTTGGCTTTATCTAGGCTGTAAAACTTGGTGCTATGAAGCATGTAAATTATTACTAAGAAACACGCAATTGCTTGTGTGCGTTTTTTTTTTTTTGGTGGAATCGGAATCACTAGACTAAATCTTCCCTCTGTTTCCTTCTAGCAGTGAAAAGATTACCACCAGGACATAATTAATGCATTCATATTTTCCAGGCTAAATCAGAATTAAAATCACAAAACCGTAAAAGAGAAAAAAAAAAAAAAAACTGTCATTACAATTATCATCCTATTTAAAATGGCCAAGGCTGCATTTGTTCTCGTTTTTCCTTGTGGCTACTTTAGGTCAGTCAGTCTACTTCTTTCTTCATTTCCTTTCTTTTCGTGTTGTTTTATTACCTTATTTTCTTCGAAGAAGAACTGCTAAAATTTTCTCTGACAACAAATAAGATGCAGCAAATTATTAGACAAAAATTTAGACAACATGAAGAGATCAGACAAGATCATCTCAAATCTTTTCTCCCTTTGATTTTATTGACAACCGAACCAGAGACCAAAAAGAAAAATTAACTCCTCCAATCTCACTTTCTTTTTCTCACGAAATTCGAGTTCAAGAAAACCATCTTGTTATTATTTCTATTGCTCAAATTAACTTCATCTGCATGCAGTTTAATGATTATGTTCAGAACTTGGATAAGAAGTTCTTGGATGAAAAAGTGGATGCTTCCTACTTGGAAACCATAGGAGGAGGTTGCCCTGATGTAAACGCATGCATGGAAACCTGTAGGCCGTGCTACCGAGGCATCGGCGTTGTTCTCCCCTATTGTGTAGCTCCTGGAGGAGGTGCCGCTGCGATTTCCGAAAGGGAGCACCTTGTCCACCTCCAGGGCCACCAACTTGTCCGGCACCGCCACCGCCACCACCCCCCGGCCGTGAATCCCACCACCGCAAGATTGGACTGGACCGACAAAACCGGCCGATTTTCAACCATCATGACCAAAATGTTACTGAAAATGTGATATATCACCAATGCTGAGATATCCCTGAGAAATATAATTAAGGACGGTGAATCTATACTTGGTTCCATCCACATGAAGTTGATGAATGGATTATAATTTTCCGATATTTATTTCTGAGTTGTTGTTTGGTATTATTAAGGAAATTGTTAAGTACCCTTTTGTTCTAATACTTTGCAAATTGGAGATATATATTTTCTTTGGTTAAATTGGAAAACATCAATTTACAAAACTAAAATCGTTGGTTGAATAAGTGTTATAGTACCAGAAACAATGCTATATGTCATCAATGAACAACTAATAAATCACGAAAATATCAACTTCAT